CACACATTTCCTCTCATATCACTATTCAAAATCAATTCTTCCCCCAAAAAATTCCTACCAAACAAGCTCTTAGTAATTTATGTAGTTGTAAAATAAATAGATTGTTAAGCTCCCGTTTGATCTATATTATTGACCCCGTTTAAAATGATAAATATGACTGTTATTCATCATATCATTTAAATTCAAATTTTTATCTCTTATGTGGGCCCCAATAACAACTATATTTTTCATTCTTATTCTACAATAATTTGGCTCAAATATGGCCATCATCTCATTAAAATGTAAAATATGACCGTTATCCATCACATAAACATTTAAATTCAAATTTTCTATCTCTTCTGTGGATCCCAATAACTGCCATATTTTTCATTCTCATTTTACAATAATTTGGCTCAAACATATTCTAAGAATAAAAAAAATGAAGAAAATGACTAACAGTGTTCATTTGCGTAATGAGTTGAAGATAATTTTTAATTTGATGCAAAATAGTGCAAAACTTATCACAAATTTTGGTGCAGCACTGAAGCTGGCTTAAAATTACACCAACTATAATGTAAACCATTGGAGATTATTTTAATACTAGACACACTTTATATATTATAAATGAGTGAATTGTCCAAATAGTCACTGAACTTTCAAAATCATCCAAATTATCACTGAACTTTGCAAAAGATTTTCATGAGGTCACTGAACTTTAAAAATCACCTCATTCATCACTGAACTTTGTAAAAAGTTTTCCAGGGGTCTCTAATTTAGTGATCTCCTAGGAAACATTTTGCAAAGTTTAGTGATCCCGTAGAAACATTTTGCAAAGTTTAGTGATCCCGTAGAAACTTTTGGCAATGTTTAGTAATGAATGAGGTGATTTTTAAAATTCAGTGTCATCGTGGAAACATTTTACAAAGTTCAGTGATGACTTGAGTAATTTTTAAAATTCAGTGACTCCTTGGAAACATGGCGTAAAGTTCAATAACTGTTTGGACAATTCACTCTATTATAAATAGACAAACTTTTGTTGTGCAGTCCACAACAAAACATAATTTCTCATTACTTGATTCTGTTTTAGTATCCAATATAAAACAAAACCTAACGAATGTACGAGATTATGACTTCTTCTTTTTTTTTCCCATTCAGAAAATCCGTTTAGCTAACTTCTCTTCCCTTTAATAGTACATAACAATAAATAAGACTAACCATTGGAATAATGATTGTAGCACCATTAGTTGCTACAACATCAATATAAGAGCCCGTTGACAATCATTTTGATAGAAAAATAAAGTTTTATATGCACATTAAAATGAGAGAATATATTTTTTTGAAGTGATATGATGG